TGTGACCCAAACACGGGTGTCCCAGAAGAAGATGGCTATGATGATGAATATGTGGTAAGTTCAGAACTTGGTTTAGTTTCATACAGGTGGCCATTGGGCTGACAGTTTCCTTTCAGATCTAAATCTGTAAAGAGAGAGCAGCAAACCTGCCCAAAACACCACAATACTGTAGCTCATAACGTTAGGTCCTTCCCCAAAACCTTCCTCCTGTTGTGCCCTATGGAGAAAGGATTTGTGAGTTCGGAAAGGAAGGAAGGAATAACTTCCTCTGTCTGTTTTCAGAATTCCAGCCCAATCTCTCCCAGGCATTTGTACTTCTGTTTATTGTGTTCATGTTATCACTCATGGAAATACAAGTCAGATCTCAGGAAAGTGCCTGGTTTGGGGGCTTGGATGCAGCAAAGGCTCCTTCAAGATTCTGAGGGTGTCTCTCCTCAGCTGCTCAGTAGAAGCTGCAATGGGCTTTGACTCCCAAAGTGATTGTCCCATTTTCTGCTCTCTTTGAGCCTCACGCATGTTTGAGGAAACGTGTTTAAGCTTTACAGATAACCACCGTAAATACTATTTTTCCTCTCTGCTTTTATATGCTGTTATTATGTGCTTCTGCAATTAAAGCCACGCATGCCAGGGTTCTCTTGGCAAAATGCTGCCTCCTCTCTTTGTCTTTCCCTTTCTAAGATGATCATTTCTCTAACTTCTTATATTTTGTAAGCCTAAACTCTCCTTTGCTTTTCTGTCAGTTGGAAGACCTGGAGGTGACCATGTCTGATCATATTCAGAAGGTTTTAAAGCCAAACTTTGCAGCAGCATGGGAAGAAGTGGGAGATGACTTTGAGAAAGAAGAAACCTTTGCACTTAGTTCCATTAAAACCCTTGATGGTGAGGTGATCTCTCCTCTTGTATTGGTGACCCACATAGTAATCCTGGTAAATCTGGCATGCTGGGGATATATTTGGTGCATAGGAGGAGAATTTGGTGCCTTCCAATGGGAAGTCATGTCCCAGCAACAAGGTTTTGTTAGTAGGTGGATGGATGATGGCAGAGAGGTAGATGTGGTCTACTTGACTTCAGCAAAGCCTTTGACACAGTCTCCCACAGCATCTGCCCCAGGTAGTGTGGACTGTGAACTGGCTGAAGGAGAGAAGCCAGAGAGTTGTAGTCTATGGGGCTGAATTGGAGGCCTGTAACTAGTGTGCCTCAGTCAGTACTGGGACCGGTATTATTTAATATATTCATCAATGATTTAGATGAGGGAATTGAGTGTACTATCAGCAAGTTTGCTGATGACACTGCGCTGGGAGGAGTGGCTGACACGGAAGGCTGTGCTGCCATCCAGCGAGACCTGGACAGGCTGGAGAGTTGGGCAGGGAATCCAGCCTGCATCTGGGCCAACCCCAGGTTCCAAGATGAGAGAGCAGTGTAAGAGGGACCTGTGGAGCAGGATGACCATGAGCCAACACTGTGCCCTTGTGGCTAAGAAGGCCAATGGCATCCTGGAAAGACGGTGGTTAGGGAGCTGCCCTGGTGAGACCCCATCTGGAATATTGTGTTAGAAGAAGGACAGGAGCTGCTGGAGAGAGTCCAGCGCAGGGCCACGAAGATGATTAAGGGGTGACATCTCCCTTATGAGGAAAGACTAGGGAGCTGTCTATAAATATATAAATAAATATATAAAGGGGGAGTGTCACGAGCATGGAGCCAGGCTCTACTCAGTGGCAAACAATGATAGGACAAGGGGTAATGGGTGCAAACTGGAACACAAGAGGTTCCACTTAAACTTGAGAAGGAACTTCTTCTCGGTGAGGGTGACGGAACACTGGAACAGGCTGCCCAGGGAGGTTGTGGAGTCTCCTTCCCTGGAGACATTCAAAGCCCGCCTGGACACATTCCTGTGTAACGTTATCTAGGTGTTCCTGCTCTGGCAGGGGGATTGGACTAGATGATCTTTTGAGGTCCCTTCCAATCTCCAGCATACTGTGATACTGTGATACTGTGATTGCAATGCTGGGATTATAGCGAGTGGAACTTTGGCATTGCTCTCCTGAAGCTGGCTGGAGGAAGGGGTGGGTTCCTGGGCTGTGCGGGCATGGCAAAGTAGGGGTATTGATGGGGCTGCAGTGGAAATGGTTAACCCACATGGGTGCTTAGAGGAGAAGAAGAGCTTGGCACTAACCTGGAGGTAATTTTCTTCCTCAATCTCTGCATGCAGAAGCTGTCAATAACATCATCAAGTTCTTGGGCATGCAGGCCTGTGAGAGGTCAGATAAAGTGCCAGAGAACAAGAATTCTCACACACTCTACTTAGCTGGTAAGTACTCACACTGCAGGACTCCATGGCCCTGTGTCCCCACAGGGCTTTACTAAAGGGAGGGGAATGGGTTGGGAGATTCTGCTCTTACTTTGAGAGGTTTTTCTCTGTGTTGATCAGAATGGATGTATTCTGCCTATGGGAATGGTAGTGAATCCTTTGAATGAAGAACTTTCACAGCAGGCACCTGACTAAGTTCCTTGCCTGTGCTTATCTTGGAAGGAGGTTCTTAGGACCATCTTACAGACACATCCTGAATTGACCTGCAGTAGCCACAGCTTCTTACGGAATCCTAGAGTCATTTAGGTTAGAAAAGACTCTTAAGGTCATCGAGTCCAACTGGTACCTCAGCACTGCCAAGGCCAACACTAACCCATGTCCCTAAGCACCACGTGTACACATCTTCCATATCCCTCCAGGGACGGTGACTCCACCACTGCCCTGGGCAGCCTGTTCCAATGCCTGAGCACCCTTTGGGGAAGGAATTGTTCCTCATCTCCATCTAAACCTGCCTGCAGCTTGAGGCTGTTTTCTCCTGTCCCATCCCTTGTTCCTTGGGAGCAGAGGGAACAGAGCCCCCTCCTGGCTCCATCCTCAGGACTATTTCTCCCTTAAGGGCAAGGGCACTGAGCCAGTGTACTAGCCTTGCAGTGTGTGTGGCCTTCTCAAACCAGAAGTGAGCTTCAGCTACCCACTTTTCTGCTTTTTACCTGTTTAAGTCACCCAAGCCCTCCTGCAACAGTTGCTGACTCTCTTTCATTACAGCATTATCTGTTATCTTTGGTCTTGGCCTCAAGAGCTTAGGAGAAATTGGGGGTTTGGGTATTTGTTAGTCACTTCCCCCTTCTCTGCAACTGGCAGACTCAGCATGTCTGTTGATGGCTCCTGGGTTAGGACTAGATCACTGAGCCTCTCCTGAAGTGGTGACTACAAGAAAATCTCTTCAAGTCATCTCCTAAAGCCAATCTCAAACATTGCTTTGTCCCCTCAGGTGTCTACAGAGGTGGCTGTGATGTGCTGGTGAGGTCCAGGCTCGCGCTCAGAGACGGAGTCACCATGCAGGTGACTGTTAGGAGCAAAGAAGAAACGCCTGTAGATGTCATCCTGGCTTCTGTAGGCTGAGTGTTCCAGCACGACTGCGGTGGAAACCCCCTTAGCAAACACTGGTTGGGTATTTACCAGCCGTCAAGCAGCCTGCCTGCCCTTCTGCATGTAGTTTTTACTCCTCCATTTGGTATATTTTGTACGTTGCAGTAGTGGCAATAGGTGGCTGGAACTGAGCCTTTCCCATGTCCCTTCCCTTGTTGTCACTTACCCATTCCCATCTAATTTATTGCACCTCTGGCCACTTGCAGTAGAGCAGGGAAGGGAAAAGAGGCAGGTGGGAAGAAAAATGGCATCAGACTTTTGTCAAAATTGCTTTTTATTAACAGAAAATAAACCCTGGTCCAAGTGGTGGAATTCATCTGAAGTACTGGTAATAAAATAGACATTTCTTGTTCTAGTTCTGGCTGTTTCAGTACAGAAAAAAGTAGCCCATGATGGCTGCTTACTCAGAAAAAGCCCCTTATTCCTAAAGGGACACTAAGAAAGTTCAAACATAAGCAGTTAAAACCCACCCAGCCTCCAAGTTTATGGTATCCTGATGCTCATCTCCTCTGTTCCACATGGAAAAATCAGTGTACAGAGAGAGATTAACCTTCACCTCCAAAGCATAGTCAGTGGCGAGCCTTACATTAATAATCCCAAACACTGGTGTGTGAAACATCCCATATCAAAAGCTGGGAAGAGACAGGGAAGGAGGGACCTTATGGTAACTTCCTTATGAGGGAAGTTCTGCATCTCTCTGCTGGTCTGCTGTTTTTTTAGTTATCAAGCCAGGGTGAGGAAGGAAAGAAGGAATAGCGTTCCAATACCACTTTAATTACCTGTCCTACATCCTATGCCTTCAGTAGCTATTGCTCACAAGAGCACTGACTTTTGCTAGGCCCCAGAACACTGCTTCTTCAGCTTGCCCTAGTGAAAGAGGCATGAGCCTGCCCTGGTGGAGCTACAACCAGGCTTCAGCAAAGCTCCTGGGTAGTCCCAGGGGTGCAGCATCACTGAGTAGCTCTGCTTGTTCAACTGAAGAGCAGAGAAACAAGGGAAGTAGTAAAACCGTTGAGGTTTAGAGCTTGCCTTTGGGTCATTGGCCATTAAAAAGAGGTTACTGAAGGTAATTACAGTCTTTAAATGCTCCTTTATGTGTGCATGGCGTCATTGCCAGTACTTGGGGGATTACAGGTCCAGCTCTCCTGCTGTAGTTAGTGTAGGCAAACTCTACTTCAAATTCTTCAGGCCTGACAAGGTGGTCAAGTATTACAACTCTTAGCAGAGGGATATCATTTCAACTGCATCCATGGTGGGAGTGTATGCATCAGATCTTGACTGCAAGTGGTCCTGGCTACCAGTGACATGTAGCATGGCCTTACAGTGACGGCAAATAAGGACTCTTGCAACAGACATGTGTTCCTGTTGTCCTTTGAGCTCATCTGTTATCCCAGCCTCATCTTTTCTGGTGCTTCAAGGATTTACCTGCATCAATGCAGCAGTTTGGTAGCCAAAGATGAGGTTGTTAATGCAAAGTGCTGGATCTGGAGATAAAAAAATCAAGGTTTCTTCCTGTCCCCAAAGCCTGCCATGAGGTGCAAGAACTGAGGTGCAGCAGCTCAGAAGGAGTTGATCAAGTCGAGATAAGCATTCAGGAAGCCTGTTGGATCCTCCAGCTGTGGATAGTGGCTGATGTGGTCGTCCAGCACAGACACTGTGGACATGGGAGGCACCTTCCTGGTGGGAGAATACAGCAAGGTGCCACCACTGAAGCAGGACATTACCCACTCGTATTCTGCCTGTAACATGGTTTGGGGACAAAGCCTGTATCAGCTACATATGACCACTCTTCCAAGTGTTGGATTTACTTCAGAGTAGTCTGAAGGAGAAGACTACCTCAAGTCAATACATTTTACCTCTGTCTGCTGAGGGTTTCAAATACCTCATTGTTTTGACTGAGAATTCTGACTTTGATGCCTAAAAACCAGCCTCCCTGAAAAGGGAATTGAAAGCCCCAAGACAAAGTCCTCCCTCAAAATGAACCCCAGTTGTGCATTCACACTTTGTGGTGGGCGTTATCTTACTTGTAAAGCTGAAGGAACTCTGGGTGTGGATTCACAGGGACCAGGGGCCCATAGATGAGATGCACTGCGAGAGAGAAGCAGAGAGAGCTTTTATACGCAAGGACATCCCTAAACTAAGCCAAGAAGACTGTTGCACGCATCCCACGAAGTAAACCAAACCAGGTTCCTACTCACACGGGACAGAGGTGGACATCAAAGCCCCAACCCAGCGTTCTCCCACCCCCAGCTTCTCTTTTCCTGAGTCCAGCTCCTCCTCCTCTGCCTTGCTGGGAAATGCTGCGTGGTCTCCTGCGTCCTCCTGGGGCTCGGCGGGCGGCTTCCGGGAAATGCTCTCGGCCGTCGCGGGGCTCGGCTCCTCCGCCGCCTTCTCCCGCTGCTCTGCAGCCGCTTCTTTCCTCTCCTCGACCGCCCCGACCTCCTCCATCGGCAGCCGTCCCCTCAAGGCCTCCGGCCCCGCTCCCGCCGCCGCTTGGTCCCCGGGGCCGCTCTCCCGGGCCGCTTCAGCAGCTGCCGGCTCCCGGGGCCTCTCCCCCTCAGCTCCCCGCAGCCTCACGAAGATGGAGGCGAGGGCGAGGGCCAGGACGGTGAAGAGCAGCCGGACGGCCAGGTACAAGTCCATGGCCACGTCCGTCCTGCCCTGCTGCTGGAGCCCGCCCGTATTATAAGCCATTGCCATAAAGCACAGTGAGACAAGAACCTTAGCCCAGGCCCCACATTTGATAAACACTAACACAGCAAATACCGGCTCTACGTAAGTTACAACATTCTGAAGCTGTGAGATCAAGAGAAACAACTCTGAGAGCCAATAAATCGTCATTGTGATGAGTGACTATTAATCTGGTCAGATCTGTCGTTATCTCAACCCTTCGTGCCCCACGTTGGGCGCCAAAAAGGACTGTCGTGGTTTAAACCCAGTCAGGTAATTTGTTCGCTCACTTCCCCCCCTTTTCTTGCCCTCCCCGTGCTCTCGGAGGGACGGAGAGGAGAATCGAAAAGAATGCAACTCCCACGGGTTGAGATAAGAACAGTTTAGTAACTAAGGTATAACACAAATCACTACTGCTACCACCAATGATAATAATGATAAAGGAAATAACAAGGGAAGAGAATACATCATCTCACCACCAGCCGACCGATAACTCGCCCCCCCCTCAGCCCGACCAAGCACCGACCGATACCTCCTCCAACCCTGCAGGCCCCCAGCCCTTCCGGCTAACTCCCAGTTACATCCTGGGCATGACGTGCTGTGGTATGGAATACCTCTTTGGTCAGTTTGGGTCAGGTGTCCTGTCTTTACTTCCTCCCGGCTTCCCCTCCTCCCTGGCAGAGCATGAGGCTCACAAAGTCCTTGGCCAAACCAAAACATCGCTATCAGTTCTGTTCCCAGGCCGAAAGTCAAAACACTGCACTGCACCAGCTTCCAAGAAGGAGAAAAATGACTGCTACTGCTGAACCCAGGACAGTGTCCCAGCCATAAACCATCTGCTTCTCCCCCTTCAGGTGTCTGCTTTTCCTTATCAGTAGCTGCTTATCAGTAGACTCAGTCTGCTTTTCCTTGTCAATAGAACCAGGTGTCTGCTTTTCCTTATCAATGGATAGTGCCTTTGTTCTGCTTAGTAGGCATGATAGGTACAGACAATACTTTTGTTTAAGCAAGCGAATTCCTCTAACCCCCCCTGTACAACCCCCCTGTACAACCTCCCTGTACATTGGTTAACCCTGTATCAATCCCCCCTTTTTTCTATAAAATGAGTAAATTCTTTTACTAGACTATTTATGACAGAGCTATCCATGTTCCTTCTATTGATTTATGAAGTGATTTTGATATACACTGTGTTATGCAAGGTACAATCATTAAAATGAGAAGTCCTATAGCTAAGATTAGAAGGCCTTGTTTAAGTATTTCTCTGAACCATCCAGTACCTCCTAGGTTATTTAGCCAGTCATCCATTCCACCTCCAACAATTCTAAGCTCCTGCGTATTTTCATTTCTTTTCGCAGCTTAGCATGAATTGATTCAGAATGGTCAGTTAAGTTCATGCAGCACATACTTTCGAAATCCCCACAACCATCCTGTAACAATATCTTTGTTACATCCCGGGCTTGTGCGCTTCTAGTTGGAAAGGCTTCTGGCCGACCTGAAAAGGTGTCTGTTAGTACCAACAAATGTCTATTATATCCCCTTTTTCTGTCCTTTTGAAAATTCTCCTGCAAAATTTTATTTTAACTGCCATTACCATCTAGGGTCTTCTTGAAATAGTTCCCTGTTTCTACTGGATATTTAAATTTAATTTCTTTTTTTCCAATCTTCATAGTTTATCATAGATCATTTACAATTTCAGGAAGAAAATTTTGTTATACCACAAGTAATCAATATTAAAACAATTAATATTAATCAGGTATAAGTATTGGTCCCAAG